GATATTATCTTGACACCAAAATGATTAGTGTTTGAAACATGTGAAAGTACTGTGGAAAGTACTGGCACCCGTACTGTGGTAAGCGTGTCGATATCGATTGGTCAGGTTAACATTTGGCTCCAGCAGCCTCGTGTAAACTCTTAACACTTGAGGCCAACGCGAACCTTCTCTGCATAATTGATCTTGCTATGGCAGTCTACCAGGCCAGTCATTGCATGTAAAGATAGTTCTTGTGAAGAAGATATGTTTATTCTGTGGCGGATGGTATAGATCTTGCTATACAACGGAATTAACCCAGGTTCAAAAATTCAGCGATGGTTTAGAATGGTTAATTTACACATGACTGACAATGAAGTAATGGCAAGCATATGAATGACTACACACAGATTGAATTAGTTTGACATGAGATATGGACGCTTGCTAGTGATTGACTGACGGAGATGAGAGGAATGGACTATTTTACTTACTAACTACAAGTTACGGGACGATCCCGTATGTTAAGGTCGGGCTTACGTTAGTTTCCCCGACATATTCATTAAGGTCAGTTTTGTTCTTAAGGAATTTACATGAAGACCAGCCTTGTTCCAAACAAAAGGTAAATCTGGTGCGATATATACATGGCTGTCACGAGCAGAGAAGGCCTGAATTGGCCAGTAAGTATAGGCATTCCTTGTGCCAGTCTGTACATGTCAGCTTAGATTAGATGTCATTCTGCCAGACATCTTGTACGCAGAGCAGGCCTATCGCGAACAGAGTAGGCCTATGAAGGTCTAAGCTGAGCTCAGACCCAAACAAATACAGTAACAGAAGACTGCCCAAATCCAACGTCCAGCGACTGGCAGGTAACATAGCCCTGCTAGGAATAGCCGGGGCCAGAGACCCTGTGACCTGAGATGCGAGTCCTGAATTAATCGTGAATTATTGCCGACATGTCAAGGCTTATTGTAACCTGAGCCTTCTATAATTTTTTCTACGTGGAACTGATGTGACCTCGTTAATGAGTAAATTTGAAATAGTACCTAGTATTAAATTAAAGGCGCTCTAAATATATAAATTAGAGAAAGAAGTAATGTTTAAAATAATTTGCACGCGTTTAGGAGATCGCTAACGAAGAAAAACAAAATAAAATCAGAAATTGGCTTTAATTATTTCGGTAAATAACGGGAGTAGTTCTAAAATAGGACAATTTATTCAATATATTCAATGTTTTTGAAAATTTTCAAGCTCCAATAATTCTTATTCAAACGAGTATGCAAAAATATGCATACTCCAAAATAATAAAGTCAAAGAATGCGAAAGCCGCAGGAGAAGTGGGAGGCGGGAGTTAATGAAAAAAACTTTACGACGGTCAGTCACTGGAACTTTTAAAACAAGGCGAGCGACCACAAAATTATTTCTTAAGAGATTCAAACGTAGGAGCCGCAACATACAATTGCAATTTGCTTGGAATTTGTGGTCGTACATAACAAGCATTCCCGCATTCCAGGTCTGGGAATCCGACCCTCAGTCAGCACACAAATCGAACAAGAACGCCTCCAGGAATTGAGTCAATTTGTTCACAGTTTGGACTGGTGGTCGCCAGCGTGAGAAGCGGACAAGGCTGAAGGCCCGTGGCGCTTGCCAAGCCAAACACAAACTCGAGATAATAACCAAAAGGGACTTAATGGTTAATTACCGTGAATTTTCATCAATCAAACACTAGATATATATAAAAATAAAGTCAAAAGTTATTTATATATAATACATATACGTAATGGCAAGTAAACTAGAACTCGATATTATGATGAAAACTTTGACTTGAAACTCGGATGAAATGATCAATGGAGACAATAATCATAGGCGGTTTTCTGGAAGTAAACTTGCCTTCAAGATCAGAACGTTTGCCGGCAAATAGTTCAAGGAACCGCATAAATTATCACTTGAGTCTCAGTATTGAGAACAAGGCATAGTCATCCTGGGGTTCTTCACTTAAAAGGTATCGAAAGTTCGGAGAATATCACCCAAAAATTATTGGTAGAGCATCTTTGATTATTGGTGCCTATAGGTGGAAATTATAGGTGGAGCACCGATGGCGCATCGATGCGAATGGCGTGTCCGGGCTTTGTTCCACCTATAACCTGCTGATGACCATCCTACTCGAAAAACTTATCTTCCATCAATAACTACCCCCCATTAGCACCGGTGGCGTATCGATGAGCCACCGATGGCCATCTTTAAGTCTATAAAAAATTGTCGTTTGAATTCAAGTACGAAGCATTTACTTCTGTTGATTTTGTTTCATATGATCACACAATCTGAGGACTACGCATGCACATACAGCATGGCAGTACAAGTAGTAACAACATAAGACATGTATCGGGAACAAATTTTCACAGAACCAGATGTATACCTCGTGAAAAATCGACTTGAAGAAAAGCCCCTGACGGCAGGATTCGAACTCCGATCACGCTCGTGCGAATTAATGCCTTTACCGTTGAGCCATCGGAGAGGACTTGGCACTCGAGCCATTTTAAGCGAATTAATTGAAGTATTCCAAAAATTAATTTCATCAAATGGCAGAAGTAAATGCTATCAATGATTAGATGGTTCCATTAACTAATTTATTTGAACATGCTTCTCTATACGAATAAACAGCCGCTGAAAGAAACTTCGCTTATCCATAATTTGCACGAACGATGGTGCAGCTCATCGTAAAGGCTACGGGAAAAGCTTGCTAAGTATTGAAGTTCCATAGAATGAACATAACACCAATATTGACAGCGTTTAGATTCGAAATATTTTCACCGTGACCATACTTGCTCGAAATAAGGAGTTGATGTCACTCGAATTATTTTGAAATATTAGGCGTGAAACACCTTCATCACTTGGCGTCACTATTTTTCTCTAGTCTAATCTACAATCTTTAGCGTAAGAAACATGCCAGAAATTTAATTGCCTTTACTTTCATCAACGCATAAATATGAAATATACCTTTTTCTATGAACAAATAGACGAAAACATTCATTAAAATAGCATTGTATAATTCATTTGTACATACATTCATTCGCATCGCGCACACGTGATGCGTATAATAATTGTTTGCTATCACATATAAACTTCAAAAAATCAACAGATAAAAAATATATTGTCCCCGGGCAGTTGCAGTGAAAATTGCTGATGATTTTAATGATTAAATCGTAGCACCAGAAAAATCTTATATCGCCAAGGGCACTGATGGCCTTGAATTATTATTATTCTAGTGCAAAAATTAAAATCATTCGATCACATTAAATGGGAATTTATATCGTGTTAGGCGGCAAAATACTGAATTGTAGCATTGATATAACGAGCAATAATATGTAGAAAACACAATTTTCTCCTTTGATGTTGTACAATGCCGATGAAAGCAATATCTTGTGATGAAGCTTTATTCGAGCGAAATTGCTATCCGGACTTTAGTTCTTTGTGTTCATAATTTGTTACAGGGAAGAACATCGCAGTTGTGATGGCTTTCCAATATTGAAGGCGCTTTTCGGTAGAAATGGAAATAAAATCTGTGTCTCTCAGAGCTACGGTTATAAAGAATACTGTTGTTTCCCTTATGTTACGTATTGAGGACCTATTTTTGCTGTGAGGCAAATTCTTTACATTAATTCAACAATACAACTGAAAGATTAAACTGTAGATGCAAATTTGAAAATAGGTATAACAAGGACAGTACCTTCACATTTCTGAAGGTTAATCCAACCTTACGTGAGTCGGAATTTTTCTTCCGACTCATTTTCTACGCGTTTTTTATCTTAAAAATTTTATTCGTTCAATGATTTACTGATATAATTTTTCTTTCGTGATAGTTAATATGATCAATTGATTCTTAATAATATGAGTTAATACAACTAGAAAAAAAATTAGGGAATCAGTGAAGATTTTCGGTTTTAGATTACCGAAGTAATTAATACCTATAAAAAGTGCGAAATAATTTCGAAACACTCCCATTCTCTTGTTCGTCTTTCATTTTACAGGATTTATTTATGTGAAATTAAATGTAGACTAGTATTTATGTGAATTTCTGTAACTTCGCATAGTTTAAAAATTCCAGCATATCAGCATTCAGTTTCTGATGAGCTAATAACTATTCATGTGTGAACACTTAATTAATTGCTGATGTGAAGGATATCAAGAGTGGAACTTTATTCCAGAGCCAACGTTTGAGTCTTATTTACAGCTCACATTTTGGAAGTGATAAAAATAATTCTCCCTGTGGTTTATTATGGAACGAAATGTAACTTATTGAAAAATTATGAACGATATCATACATGATTGACATATTAGTGCGATAAGTTATTATTGATCTGATACAATTATCGACTGATCAATTAAGTGAAATTCACATCAAGACATTAAAGTGTCAAGTAATGAAGAGGGAAGGTTACTTATACCATCCGCTCCACTGGCCGAACTAAAAGAAGAATTTAAGTGATAAAATTCACGAAAAGTAAACGTCATTGGTGCATATAAAATTTCGCGAAGGATTCCTGAGAAATGAAGGACCTATGGTGATAAACTGTCGGTCGAATGTTTAAATCTAAATCCCTATTACTGATTAATTTTTATGCTCCTCAAAATACTTCAAAAACATCTTCAGTCATTCACACAGATTGTAAAGGAAATTTTTCGAAATTTCTGCACATAAATGTCAATGGAGTTCAAGCACTTAACTTTCCATGAATACCTATGAATTTAGTTTTGAGCTTTGTACATTTTATCAATGTACTGATTTTATTTATCAAATATTCTCAATTATAACATTAATAGCATTTAGTTTTTGAAATTTCAATATAATAAAAAACTAATTTTATTATGAAAATTAACCCTTTTTTAATATATTGAATCCTGCTAATCTAATTCCCCAAATGACAACAACCATACATTGAGTTTGGAAAGTAAAATGCCTAGATAGCTCTTAGCAATTTTCAGTTCAAACAATTACTGATAAAACGCCTTCATTTACCCTGCCCACCATGGGTGGCGCACACAGTAAAGACGCTCCAAATAACCAAGACTCAGGAGCAAAAGACGCAGACTCTGACCGAGCTTCCGCTTCTGAGGGAAAAAACGTCAAGAAATTTGACAGGGAAGAAATTTTGGGGCAAAAGCCGGACGATCTCACCGACCAAGAGAAGACATTGATACGCGACACGTGGCAGGACGTGGAGACCTCCGTCGCCAGAGTGGGGGTGGTCATGCTCAGCTGGTGAGTGGGGGATATGTTCTTCGGGTGAGTGGGGGACAAGTTTATCGGGTGAGTGGGGGACATATTCATCAATTCAGTGGAGACATATTCAATTGTTCAGCAAATGCGGACATGTTTAGCAGGCCATTGGGATACCAAGTGTTCCTTACAGACTGAAGTTTCAAAACCACATTTGATTGTTAATAATCTTGGAATATGCCGCATAAATTTCAGAGTCGATATTTATGTTCGAAAGTTTGCTTGAGTTTTTTGCTCAATGTCTCCAGACAATGTAATTATCGATGGAAATTTATGGAACGCGCGTAAAAAGTTATATCTAATTATGAGTTAGTGAAACTCGTTGATTGCAGGATCGTTTTTTGCCATAATATATATAATTGAGGAAAATTCTACAACATAATATATTCATAACTTTATCCCACTCGGTAGCACTTTTTGGATGCGATACTTGAATTTTTTCTTTTGGCCTCAAATGTGGTACCGTTTTAGTTTTGCCGTTTAGTGTTTTGCTGCAAAGGTGCTATACTGTTTTTGGGTATGTTTTTCTGGTGCCCGAGCTTAACGTTAATAGGTATCGCTGGTTTCAGTGCTAATTTCATCGAATAAACTTTATTTATGTTAGTTTCTAGCAAATGAATCACTAGGTTTGAATTCCACAGAATTAAATATAATATAAATTATTTATAAGCAGTTAAATTCGATAATCTTTCGCGGTTTCGAAGGAGTATTTTTTCATAGAAGTTTTAGAAATTGCCGCGCGTGTTATAACTTCCAATTTCTAGCGATTAAGGATTAAAATTTCGGCATTCATGCAAGTTTTCATTTTTTCTCGAATTTCAGATTGCATTGACGTCAATTAAATTTTTTTGATGATCGTAAATATACAAATATTCACTTATATAGTTGCAAAAAACATTAGTAGCTGCTGACAGTTTTTCAAATTATGGTAGCTCAAAGGCTAAAAAAAGTATCAGAAATTTATCATCGGTTCTTTGAGAATTTCTGTTCCAACTCATATTTATTTTAAACTGTGAATTAATAAAAAATCTGCCGGATTTCTTTACGTGGAAATTCTGTTTCCCTTCATATGTCACTCGATTCGGGTTATATTCTCGTAACACTCCAAATGTCTCCAAACAACTTCACGTATAAATGGCAGTTTCAAGTGCGATATTATTTCTAGATTGCAAAACCATCAAAAAGAGAGTCGTGAAGGTCTCCGTAATTTCGTGCCGGCCACGCAGACTAGCCATCACGGAAATAAATTGAACGAAGTCCTATTTCAACATTTGAAAACTAACGAACGAAGTCCTTTTTCAATATTTTCAAGTTTTGATTGAAAATTGAATACAAGTTTTGATTCAGGCTGAGTTTGATTTAGAATATTAATAAGGACTTGCATCTGAATCTCACCTTTTATTTTTCCCAAATCAAAGAAACGTTGATTTCAACCGAGATTTGTGTTATGACTTCAATCGAGACTCAGGGTTCGCTTTCACCCGTAACTTGTGATGTGATTTCACTTCAGATTTGAGGTTTGATTTCATCTTAAATTTGAGGCTACGCATCCCTTTGCTTATGACGTTCTTCTGAAGCTACGTAACGAGAAGATTGTTGTTGTTTTGAAGCTACTGAGCGAAGTCGATAAAGCTGCAAACACAGATTGCGGTTTGGGGAGATTCGGTACAATTTCCAAGATCGAGCTGTGGGCATAAGCAATATTTCTCTTGTATTAGGCTTAGTCATAATAAACCGATTCACTAATAATATTTCCATATGACGCAAATGTGATTAAAAACGATGCGGATATTTTACCATATTCTAAAATCTAAATTAACTTCATCCTGTCAAATAGAATCAGAGAAACTTGGCTTCAAAGTAAACATAATTTTAACATACCGAGCTAAATCATTACATTGTGTATAGTTTATATTCTCCAAAATTTATAACAAATAAAAATGAATTGTCACCAATGAAAAAATAATTTTCATCTCATGAAATATATCCGCAATGGTTGCAAGAGCACGCAACTCATAACGCGAATGCTAATGCGGGTCGGGCTTAAGGCATCAATTCATTATGTTCATCTGGAATTTAATATTTTCTTTCAAATGATGTCGGCAGTTTTTACTCGTTGCCGACATCTTTTGATAGCCTTTATAAGGAATCCATGGGATGTCCTCGAGAGGTGGCATAGGATAACGGTCTGACAGCCTTAGTCGTCCCCTTCGAAATACCTGCTTGTGGACAAAATTATTACCTGTCCGAAATTTTCCCATACAGAAAAAAAGGTATGCGGTCTATTGACTCATTTTTATGGTAAATTGTCATTTACTAAACTATTGCGATTTTCTAAATTAATATTAGATTTATTTTAAGTGAGACATTTCAGTTTTTATAAACGCAATTACGAAGATTTGCGAGGGAACGATTATTTATAACAAAACCCGTGTAATAAAAGTATAATTAACTATATCAAAAGAAAGTGCCAACTCCAGGCACGTTTTTTCGATTGAAATTTGATCGAAAAAAACCCAAGACTCGAGCGACATTCGTACATTTTAAAAATTCCTGGAACGTCTTGTATAAATTTTTGTTTCTCTCAACACAATCATTTAATCAGATTTTTATTCTCGTTCTTATGTCACTATTTGCTAGAATTTCTCTGTACATGTTTACTTGACTGAGGCATTTTTTCTTTAGTATTTTACGTGTTTTCTACTTCAGCAGGAAATTCGAGCTAATAAAGAAGCTCTGGTAAACAAGCGCTGCACACGTGCCAAGTATTCCTGAGGGCAAATTAAGTTTCCCCTCATTAACATGATGTCTTGTTCGTAGCGTCCCGGGCTCTCTTAACATAATATCACTGAGACTGAGATTTGACCTCGCACTTTAAAATGCATAAAGTTATTTTTAATGTAATATTGATGTAGTTCTGGGAAAGAATGAGTGGCAGGAATTTCGAAATTTCGAGAATCAAAAAAATGTTGTTCGTTTATTCTCAGAGTTTCCTAAATAACAATATATATGTAATCACATAAACTTTTTTACGCTTTCTCAATAATATTTTGATATCGCGAAACTGGAATGAAATTCTTTATCTAGATAATCCACTTGTAAGTCATTCAATATTGAGAGTATTTTGTGTAATCTTCAATGCAAATTTTCGTCTCCTGGTGAACTAGAAAGGGAAAAAATTCTAATTTACCTCCAAAAACTGAGAGGCTTGGCAAATCTTGGCAGACGACTTCATGCTCATCTCTCACACAAATTTGAAAACATTTTATTAGCTTTAATATCACATTCACTCAAAGTTATTATTCCTCGATAAGTCCCTGGAGGTAATCAACAATTCATTACCAAGTTCAGAAAATTTGTTGAAATTGGATGATCAAAACGATTCCGGGCTATTTATTCGTATATATATAAATAATATTTTAATGAAAAAGGAACATAAAGACGACAGAATAAAATCGTACCGCAGCTGATTAGTTACATATATTGATGAATAAGTGACAATGTCTATGATAAAGTTTTCAGTCCAAATTGACTATTCGGTCCTTGGGACATACATCATTTCATCCATTTTCTTAGTAAAATTTATAGACCAGATTTGATAGTTTTTTTTACTTATGAGGATTTTCCTTAATTATGAGGGACGGGTGGCCCAGTGGTTGAAATTCAGAGTACCAGGATTAGAGTAGCGAGGTGCGGGTTCGATCCCAGCTACCTGCGACAGTTTCTGGTCAAACGGCGAGGCTGGAGGCCGGGCGGTTAAGCAAAGCGAAATTGGGGCAGTGAGTTGGGTGCTTGAGACTTCAACAAGCTGCGAATATTCTGCGATTTTAAGAATGGCAACAGGCCTACAGCCTTTTAAAACGCTAGCACCGCTATAAGTAATTACTCAATGCCTAATTAAGATTTTAATTGTATTGTTTCCAACTCAATAAATCCAGATTAGGAGCTCGAAATGTTCAGGGGAACAATCAACGTCTGGATGCTTCTGTATTTGTAGAATATTATACAAGCCGAACGTGATAATTCGTTTAATTCACTCCTAATAATTATCGTCTTATTTCTAGCATAACAGTAGAAGTTAAAATGGATGGAACTCTGCGCTTTAATTATAGTGAACTGGAATTTCCTGAATTTACCATGCGGGAGAGAATACGTTGATCTTTACCTAATTGCCACATTAATTCGAGTTATTCTGTCAATTTATATAATATTCTCGACGAAAATTTTTAAATATGCAAGTAAATTCATAATTAATGGGATAATTCATCAAGAAGTAATTTTTATTGAAGTATATACCCATTAGAGGCCATCAGAAACCAGTAATCTTGGAAATATCATACTTAAATATTTCAATATCTATTTACAACAAATGCCATGAATCAAGTAGCAAATTACTTTTTCTAAGCAATTGCTGAACCAAATAATAACAACGTGTATTTATTTACATTTTGTAAGTGGATTCTTAGGAATAATTACTTAAATGATTGTCATCACTACAAAGAACGAGTGCTGCCTCATTATCTTTCGTCATATAAAATTTTGTGCGTAATAATTAAATACTAATTATTATCGGTGTAAAAAGACACTCTGTTTTATGTTGAACTTTGAAATAAACTATAAATTGTTTTCTTTATGTCACGTGGCTACTGCTTAGGAAAATTCTGAACTTTCGGTTTATAAGTCAGTCCTCTTTCGTGATGTGAAATTAGTTTAAAATTCTACCAGGTAGGACTATAAACAAAATAAATTCTTCTAGCACTTAGGCAACGTTACATTTCAGCAATATGTAGCAATTTTTTTGACAGTCACGCTCGAAGTGTAGTATTGGTAGGAAAAGGTCGTAGCAACTGTAATGTGGTGAAAGGCCGTCTCGACAATTTATAAATGGTACCGACTAATTTATGAGACGTTGGCCACCACACATGAGACGGGGACGGATGACTGAAGGGCCTTTTTGCAATTATGTCGTGCCGAGCTGTGCT